TGGGCATTATAGAAGATATAGCTTTCCACTGTATACATTTTGCAGTATAAAAATCTGTTAAGCCGGGGGAATTATTTCATCCTCTTTTTTTACTCTCCTGTCAGAACATCAATTATCTACATGCGGCGGCAATTTCTTCCAATTCAACATTTCTTTCTTTGACAGTAGAAATGTCTTAAATACGGCTTTCGAATGGGAGTAACCAGGCTAAAATAGTTGAAAAGCTAGGATGACCAACACTGCGACAGAACATATCATTGCCTGCAGCAGTAGCATCGAGGATTGATCACCAATTTAATATCCTCAATTTCATGCAGGTATCACTATATTATGTAAAAGACTAGGAAAAATAAGTGATAATTTTAAAATATTAAGGTGCAAGGGGGAAAAAAACTTTTAAGTTTCAATTGTCTCTTCTGTTGATGACCAATAAAGATGATTGATCTCATTGCACTTCAAGATTCAAGTTACTAACGACTAAGAGAGAAAGAGAGAGAGCTTACAGCAATTGCAGAAGCAGCAAGGCCTGCTCTCTCCCTAGGATCTTTACGGTAGTAATTTCCAAAATACAGAAATGTGGCGTAGTACCACATCAATGGGAAGACAAATCCTAAAAGAAAACTGTAAAAGAAGATGGGAAAGTGAGATGAGTCAAAACGGAGTCTGGCAAAGGTAAAAGTGAAATGTACTTACGAAAACCATCCAATCCCACAGCCAAAGCATGGAAGGGGTTTGTCATAAAGTCCCAACTGCAAGTCCTCCATTTCTTTGATAAGGGAATACTTTCCCTTTTCACGATCTGCAGCATCTGGCATTACAATACCTCTTAGTTGATGAATAGAAGCTGGTCAACTTTTCTATGGATATAAATGTACCAATTATTCTAAACTGCCAAATCATGTGTTCTATAAAACAGAAGCAACTTATATTGAGCCACATAAAGCCTGAAAATGGATCAATGTGGTCGATATGACATTCCATTGGTAGAGAGGACAAAGGTTTTCCTTCCCCTTTTTATTTCAAAAAATAAAAGAATGTTTTATTTATGTAAGAAATAAATTTTGAGAACATAAATGGCCAGATTTTATTTGACTATTGCTGCTGAAAGGGAGAAACACAGTCAGCTGGTAACAAGATGATCATAACATGATGGAAATGTTACAAGCAGATTCCGAGTTCAAAAAGGACCCTTCAAAAGAATATCAATGAACTACGATCGTTCAATAATATTTCCATCCCAATGGGAAGGATGGTGGAGCAGAAGTAGGTCAGAGAGGGATATTCAAAGGAAAAATGCCATCCTACCCATGGTTCCTTGCATTCTAGTTTGAATTGTAACAAGCAATGACAAGATCATAAAAGCACATGCATAACAACAAACTGAAACATGACATAGAGTTCAACCATGAGAAGATATAATAGGAGTAGATGCTAAAAGCCCCTGGTTGAATTCCAATAAGCTAGTAAGTCCAACTAGCGACTCCTACCTTTAAATACTGAATAATATCGAGCAGAAGGTCTCAAACGATCATGATGCTTATCAGAGGGTAATTTCACCAATTCAATGCCATTTCTTAAACCTTCTGCTTCCTCAATTTTAGGATCTACAATGTCATAAAACCACACTTCATAATTACATGTAAAAAGATGCAAATTGTCAAACTAACTAATTCAAGTCTTTCCTGGTTCTACATAGTCGAAAATCAGTCTTCATGGTAGACCTATTGCCTGAAAACATCCGGCAGACAGGATATGCTCCCAAACCTTCAAATATCAATTTCTAGTAATATCAAGCCCCACGTCTGTATTTTCTTTGTTTGTTTGTTTGTTTTTTTTTTTTGAGAACCACACATATATTTTTACAAACTAGTGGAAATTAATAGATGAAAATAAAATAAATAGTATTTTTGTGCATCTCCATGCCTATATTTATGTTTCAGTTTTCACTTTTATTATCGTGTGCTTCAACTGGGATCTCTGGATCTGACCTATAACTGTGTGGTGCACTTGTTAACAAAAAGTAAATCCCTAAATCTGACCTATAATTGTGCGGTGCACTTGTTAACAAAAGATAAATGACAACTGCAGGAAATAAGGAATTGAGGGTTACCTTGATCCATATGCACAGAAGAAGATATCTATAGAGCATGCACGTCCTTCCTTACTGTCACCTCCCTTGAAAATTCCTGAATCATTAAGAGAGAATTTCACATTTAATCTTGTCCCAGAACTTTGCTGTTCATTCTTTCATGCAGGCTGAGCTATATATTACAAATTAAAGTGCATACTCATATAACCAAAAAAAATGTTTACGGCCAGGTGAATGGGATTTGCTACAATGTCATAGGTAAGGTGTAAAAATACAAGGTTTATGAATTGCAAGGTTTAACTGTTAGACTTATTTTCTCTAAGAAATCTAACCTGTCAGAGAAGTTTGGATGTATCTTATGAAATAGAAAAGATTGCAATCCCAATGATCAGGTAATCTTACCTTAGCTTTTTATAGTATACTTCATAATTAGGTCCTTCAGATTATGCTAAGCAGATAAATCGAAACAAGAGCAAACTAATCTTCTTGCCCATGAGAAATCTTGCATCCTGATTTTGCAGTTTAAGAGCCAAATCCGCAATTGTAACTGATTATGTGTCCTAAATTTTTAAGCTCTTCTAAATTTGTAAACCCTATTTTTTAGCATATGGTGGCAACTCTTGGTGCCTGCTTATATATTCTCTTTTTCTTTAATGGAAAAGAAAGAACTTTACGCTCTTTAATCTCTGATTTCAGTTGTAACTTGTACGTAACAAGCTATAGATAATCTCTTTAGGTTTTAGTTTCCAGCCTCTTTTCTAATTTAGTGTTTCTCTTAAATTTGGTAGGATATTTAATATGCTCATCTGAATGATTCTAGAGTTAATATGTCAATAAGCTTCCTCTGCCATTTAGTTTTACCAATGATTATTCTTTAATTACATACTGATTTTAAGCTTAGCATTTGTTGTATATCTAATGATTTCTTGATCTGTTCAAGTTATATCTTGTTATTGAAGTTTCCAATTATTCTAATATCATTCTAAACATTCAGTTTTTCCTATTTGGTTCATTTGCGTTATCAGAAGCACATTCTGAAGCTGAAATGAAATGTTGAATTTACTTTCAGTATGTTTAAAAGATATCTCAGCATTAAAACTTTTTGAAGGGATTACACTAATTTCAATGATCAATCAGTTTTAAAACCCAACAAAAATGTACTGAAGCAATTTACATCTTAGAAACAGATTCAATGCTTCCTTTCAATTTTGGATCCCTCAACTAGATGCAAATGAACCTAACATCAATACTTTCTAAAAGAAACAAGATTAGAATGGTGTAAGGTAAAAACTAAAGTGTGTAATTCCATAAAAAGATTCAATTTAAGCAAATTAAGGACTTTCATTAGAAATGCTAAATGCTAAATGCTAATCAATCTTGAGCCAGTATGGAATGAAGCAATAACAATTAAAACTTCAGGATCAGTGAACTAAATCTGATTAAATTCATAGAACTTAAGCTTGAAATCAGAAAAGATACTGGAAACAGTAAGACCAAAGAAGTTAACTATAATTAGCTACTTACAACCAAAGTCAGAAATTAAAAGTACTCTAGAACTCCAGTTCACATAAACAACTTTGTAACTGCAGAATTGAACTCAATCCCAAAATCAGCTTGCTAAGTCTCTCTCTCTCTCTCTTTGTTTCTGCTACTTAACAAAATCTGCCACTTAAGTCTTAGCCTTCAGATGTTAAAACTTAGATATTTAAAAACCTGGTATTGTGGATTATCATAAAATTGCTATGAAGATTACAGCTAACCTTAGATGTTTGTTGAAAAAGGTCTAACACTCCGTTTATAATAACACTGAATTAGTAAGGAAAAGGAACATATTGTATACATAGGCCTTAGTATTTAAATGCAAACATTCTCATGAAGAAACTACTAATGAGATGAGAAACATGAACAGCATACTGAGGACAAGCCACATTCAGTTTTTCATAACTGAGTAGTTGTATTTACTCAAATTTTTGGAGCTTTCTATGGCGTATTTAATTCAGGAAAAAGATTTTCTATTTTCTACTTTCTCTTCTCCTTTATTTTTCACTTTTTATTCAAATAAAAATCATAGAGAAATACATTCAGTTTGTAGAAATGGAAGAAAAAATTTCAAAAATGATAAACAAACAAATTCCAAGTTTTACAAAGAAGAAAATAGTTTTCTAATTTTGAAAACCATATATTTTCATTTCAAAAAGAAAAATTGTAGATAACAAAAAGATATCTCCAACTTAAGCGAATTTGAAATGCCAGAGTTTCAGACAATTAAGACATAAATATTGTTAAAATCTTCTAGTAAAAGACTGTTATTCTATCTCACTGAAGACAACCAAAAACACGGCTTTATCGTGCATCTACTTCCTCTTAAGTACTAAATCACTAGACCAGAAAATTGATAAATGGATTCATTGCAGCTAAGAAGCTCTAGAATATTTCCAGCAAATCTGATATAAAAGGGGATAGAAAAGAAAAAAGCTCTTTTGAAAAGATTTCCACCATAGTAGACAATTATCTAGGGGATAGAATCCATCCATATATTCCATTAGTGACCAGCTACAAGTTCCATTCAGTTCATAGATTACCCAACAAAATTCAAAAAACAGAAAAAAAAAAAAAAAGAACCCCAGATCACGAAACATGTATCATATAAAATCCTTAAAACCTATCAAAAAACCCCATTCAAGAAAATATTTCTACTCAATAGATTAAAAATATTAGAGATAATCAATCGTTAAGAACCAGAAAAATGCGGTAAAATACGAAGAGAAGGAGATAGAGAAAAGAAAGCAGCTTGCCTGAGGAGTGAACCTTTGGATGGTAGAGGTAGAGAAGTTTGAGAACTTGAAGATTAAAAAGAAATAAAAAAAAAAAAAAAAAAAAAAAAGGGATTTTGACGCAGAGAATTTTAAACGGCAAGCAAGGTCGTCTTCTTCAGCATTAATCAATCGAAAGCTGATGAAAATTGACTCGTGAATTTTGTTTTCTATTCTCGTAATAATAATATTAATAATAAACAAATAATTACATTACTTTATTAATTAAATATTATCTATTGTGTGATGAAAAAGTGATAAACAAATATGCAAAATGACCATTAAGCCCTTATGACGTCATCTTTAATTTCCAAAATTGCCGGTTTTTGCCGGCAATGATCGGGAATTTGGGGTGTATCATTTGAGGCCGTGTTTGGATTTATGAAATTGTTCAAGGAATCTATATTAAATTTTTTATTATTATATTTTATTATTATCGTTATTATTATTATTATATATACACACACAAATTGACCCTTCAAAGAATTTTTAAAAAGGCTGGAAAAAAAAAAAAAAAAGAGAATTTATTATTTGAAATCTTGGTTTAATTAGCCTGTCTTGTCTCCTCTCATGTCATT